TGTTTCTGAATTGACACTATTGCTTACAGAAGCAATTTCAGTACAGCCATGGCATACAATACTGTTACTTAAATTTATCCTGACAGCTATCAGAACTGCGGCTACTGCTAATCTGCCTTTCTAAGCACAGTCACAGCACCAATTAATTTGGGAGGGAATTACTGCAAGTTGTGGCATAGGAAGATCATGAGGGATTTTTTTTTTTTTTATACCTTCTGTAACCTTGCTGCGTAGGGTGAGCTGACACAGCATACATTCCTATAATTAAGGCAACTGCATTAGTGCTGAAAATCTCCTACAAATATTGCATATAAATAAATCGTAGGTTTAAAGCCAGAAGGAAGCTTTAAATGATTTCATGTTCACATCATTATATTTCATTAAGTTTAATGTGTCAAACCCAGTAACTTATTAAAACAAGCTACCTTCTCCACAGGTGCAACCATTTTTTGATTTGAAGATAGAGATGGAGAATTTATTACCTCCACAAAGTTTGTTCTAATGAGGGGAAAAGCGCAATCTTCCTGTTCATAAAAAAAAAAGCACACACTTTTAACTTCTTGTTCAGGCTCCTGGTTTTTGCTCAGCCTTTCTCTGCTGGGATAGAGAGGCCTTTGGTAGACTGTCATCTTCAAGGTACGTGTATATTAACCAGTCATCTTCATGTAATACAGTATGAGCTCTTGCACAACCTTTTCTCTTCTGCTGAATCATCTCTGGTTCTGTGCCTTACCCAATATTTCAACACCCTTTCTGAAATGTATGCGCTCCTTCCTTACCTAAATAAGGCTACACAACAATAAAGTTTTCCCTCGCTGTTCATTTTTCTCCTATGTGTGCAAGAAAAATTTTAGTATCTTGGCTTACAATAAGAACATTTGTCCAGTTGTAACCTTTAATCCTCTGTAGGATGGACTCTGTACTCCTAGAATCAGCCATTTTGGAGATCGTTCAAATTCTGTGCTCCTACATACATAACTTGGCATTTAGCTGTATTGAAATGATACGAATCACACATTACTAACTTCAATTAGCAAAAAAAGCTAATCAGTCTTTGGAGCACATGCCATTTTTTGTCTTCTACCCAAAAACTGTGGAAGAAGATTGACTGATACGGGGTCTTGGAACCTTTCCCAGGAAACCCTTTTGGAAATGCCAATACTGACATCTTAAAGCATAGTTGTCAGTGGTAGAAAGCACTTGGATTTTTAAAGCAGTTCTTGCCTTGAAGGTCCATATTTGTTTTGGCAACATAAAGCAGCATTTCACATGATCACATGATGTCACACAGAAAGAGCATATACAATACTTTGCACTTCCTGCCCTTGGACAAATAATCCAAGCTTTCAAATAAAATGGATTTACAGATCAGTACTACTGTAATTTCCCCCACACCAAATAGGAGGGGCTCATAGCCTAGTGACAAATTAAGAATAAAGTTCAAGCTGCACTTTGATTTTGACACACCAGCAGATATATTAGGAATGCTGTCATTTTATTCTGTTCAGTCTTTCAAGTAATAAGGAGTACTGGTAAGGAAGACAGGAAATTAAACATTTACGTCCTTCCTTCCCCAATACTTCCTCCCAATCTTACAAACTTGAATGTCAAGGCCTACATATCCAGACACACTTCTTAGCTTTCAAGTGAGGAAAATGTGATTTCATAGGCAATTCTTCAGTTT